TAGACCCATCACAGACCGTGACAGACAGGGTCTGGACCCATCACAGACCGTGACAGACAGGATTTAGACCCATCACAGACCGTGACAGACAGGGTCTGGACCCATCACAGACCGTGACAGACAGGATTTAGACCCATCACAGACCGTGACAGACAGGGTCTGGACCCATCACAGACCGTGACAGACAGGATCTGGACCCATCACAGACCGTGACAGACAGGCTTTAGACTCATTACAGACCATGACAGACAGGGCTCTATACCCATCACAGACCGTGACAGACAGGGTCTAGACCCATCACAGATCGTGACAGACAGGCTTTAGACCCATCACAGACCGTGACAGACAGGCTCTGGACCCATCACAGACCGTGACCGACAGGCTTTAGACCCATCACAGACCGTGACAGACAGAGCTCTGTACCCATCACAGACCGTGGCAGACAGGGTCTGGACCCATCACAGACCGTGACAGCGAAACTGTACTTCTAAACCATCAGATAAACGGTTAGCTACAAATGTATTGCAAAGAAATAGAACAAAACGATTTCCATTTAATTAGTAACAGCAGATCCATCGTGTTTCACATTTTTAATCCCGCAAGGGATTGCGCTAACAGCTTTTTTAATATAACAAACTTTACGTTTTCCTCGGATTCTATCAAGATAAAACCAAGATTCGTCAGTAGTAATGAACTTTTTGTACCGATGATTTGCTAATTGACGATAAAGTCCATGTCATCGTTGTCGACGTTACATAATGTGTGATGATGTAAGATTTTGAACTTTTCATTTTTTTCGAAGAATAAATCCAGCATTTTTGATAATGTTCGAGACACTAGATTGAGCTATATGAAGATATTTTGCAATCACACGTTGAGTCGGTGGATTTTCGACGTCAATTTTACGAATTACTTTCTTTACGATAAATGTCGCTAGTCGTGATTTTTTTCGAAAAATTTTTATTTTTGACCCAGAATTTCGTTGACGACCAATCTTTCTTTTGACGTTGGATACAGTCGATCGAGCTATACTTATTTCATTAAGTTTCAATATGTTCACTATTCGGCGCTGGGAGTAACCTTGATACAAAAGTTCTAATATACGTCCTTTAACGATATCAGAGATTTTATTACGTGGCATTTGTTTAAAATGAAAATGAACATATTGGACGAAAGAAGAAGGATACTACTATCAGTCAACAAAAAAGAAAAAAAAATTGGTTCATTAGATCATGTGCACGTGACATCACAAAACTGTCAAAAATAACGTGATCATGCTGTATATACACAAAAGCAGATTTAAAATAGATTTTAACAGTTCCATACTTGTGTAATTCTCCTGCCTCTATCAAAGAGAAGAGTTCAGAGAACACAGCTGTCTTGGCTAAAATCCCTGCACTGAAAACTTTTATATTCTGTACGTGCGCGTAGAAGACGAAAATCTAGTACGACTTTTCAAAATTTCAATAGGCTAGTGGGCTTTAGGTAACCGGAAAATCGAGCTACCTTTCCGGTTATACGTTACTCAGATGTTTCGTTTGTTTGTTCCTAGCCTCATTCATATCGTATATCACAGACGCTTCTACCATATTCTTAATATGTATTTTAGAAGCAGAAATCGACGGTGAAGTTCTGATGGCATTGTTGGATGAGGATATTGAACAATTATTAACTGAAAAGATTTCAGACGGAACAATAAAAACACCAACGCTTGGAGTCAAGCGAAAATTTCAAATGAGAATGAAAGAATTGAAGGAACAATGGGAGAGTTCCCAACCGATTACGCGTGCTTCGTCTCCACACAAAAAACAAACAGAAAGGGTGAGTTGAAAATCAGCAGTATTTTCGTGAATAACAATTGAATGATACATCAATCAAACTCGTTTCTGATTAGAGTATTCTGATGCAACTCACATGTTTTTTTTTAATATTAGGTTGTCAACAAAGTTCTTGCGTTTTTTTTTAAATTTTCTAAAACATTCGAGAAAGTTCTAGAAGTTTCCATGCTCAGGGTATATAAAGGGAGTATGAATATCTTTTGAATGATAATGAAGTCATCGATATGGACGTTGATCATGGACTGAAAATGAATCTTTCTCGTAGAGAAATTCGAGTGCTTTTACTTCATGAATTCCGTCTGGGTCACAAAGCAACGGAAGCAGCCAACAACATATGTAGCACAATGGGCGAGGATGTACTCTCCATCCGTACGGCACAACATTGGTTCAATCACTTTAAGAACGGTAACTTTGAAGTCGACGATTTACCTCGTTCCGGTAGACCACTGGAACTGGATGTGGATCTCTCTTAAGGGGGGTCCCTCCTTACAAAAACCAATTTTTTCGAGAAAACCCGAAGTTGAGATTTTATCATAGAAAGATGCGCCGGAGCCTGCTCTTTAAGAATATATATGCCTTTTTTTCCAAAAAGGCTAAGTTTTAATAAACTTACCAATGGAGATTGTGAACTTAATATCATGTTTTTCGAGACATTTTCGGAATTTTTCGAAAGTTGTTCAGTTTCTTAAATACATTGCTTTTCTACTTTAATACATTGTACTAAAAAAAACAAAATATACCATAAGATGCAGCGTGAAAAGCTCTACAATTTATAAAGAGCAGCTGAGTTTATATACACAACTTTTGTCTGCAAAATGGACAAAATTCTGAAAAGATGCCATTTTCATGTTTTTTTTTCCAGTTTGAATAAAAAATCCATTTTAAAATTTGTTTATCGTTTGTCTCAGAATATGGTTTCCCATCAGAAAAATTGAAATAACTCTCTTCCGGCTCAGTCAATATCCAATATTTTTTTTTCTTTTGAAGGTCTGAGCCAGGGCTAACTTTTGTCCGAACGGATTTTTTATAAATGGTTCCTGGGCTGAGAAAAGTGGGATTTACTGTCACTGAACCGCCGTTTTTTATGCTAGTCTGCACCAAAAATGCTCGTAAAAAATGAATAGGATTGAAAGTTAAAACTCCGTTCGGACAAAAGTTGCGCCCTGAGATTAGCTTTAATTTGACACCAGCCCGATCTCTCTAGCCCGTACCTGGACCAAGTTATTTCGATTGCAAAAACTGGTCGTGAATCGGGTGAAATTCCCGATCTAGCTCTATTTACAGGGCTGAAATTTTTATCAGAAGCGTTTCTCACCAGGATCTATCATCCCTGAAAATTTCAGCCCAAATCAACAATCTAAAGTGAAAAATCAATTCTGAGGGGGACCCCTTAAGGCAGCTTATCGAAGAAGATCCTCGATTGACTTTACGGTGTTTAGCAGAGCAGCTTGGGTGCTCTTATACTGCGGTGGAAAAACATCTGAACGAATTAGACAAGACATGGACATATGGAGTTTGGATACCCCACGAGTTATCAACACATCAGCTTCAACACAGGATTGATGCTTGTATGGGTTTAATGATATCTCACCGCAACTACCAATGGCTTCACAATCTTATCACTGGCGATGAGAAGTGGGTGTTGTACATTAACTACACGCACAGATGCCAGTGGCTGAGCGCTGGTCAAACAGGCGTAGCAACGCCTAAGACTGATCCGCATCCCAAGAAGGTGTTGCTGAGCGTTTGGTGTGGAGTCAACGGGATTATTCGCTGAGAAATTCTTCCAAATGGTTGTACTATGACTGCTGATCTCTACTGTCTGCAATTGGACCGGGTTGCTGCAAAAACTCAAGGGAAAGTAGGATCGAATTTACTATTTGCATGATAACGCGAGACCCATGTTGCAAAGTCGACGCGCGAAAAATTGTTGAAGCTCGGATGGACTATTGTTTCTCATCCACCTTGTTCTCCTGACCTGGCTCCAACGGACTACCATTTGTTTCGTTCTCTTTCTAGCCATATGCGTGAGAAAAAGTTCGACGACGAGAACGACGTCAAAATGGAACTCATCAACTTCTTCGGTCAAAAGTCCCAGGACTTCTACGAACGCGGGATCCTATCCCTGCCAGAGCGTTGGAGACAAGTCATAGATAGTAGTGGTGCATATATAATTCAAAGCTAGTTGTACTGTTGGAGTTGAAAAGTAAAAATAAAATTTTTGAAAAAACGCAAAAACTTTGTTGACAACCTAATAATAACAATAAGACAATAAGACAATAAATGTAATTTGTATAATGTGAAAGATGAAAGAAGATTAATTAGCACGTGTATAAACTAGGGGTGTCACACTTACCACTTACCATCACTTCCACTTACCAGGTAAGTGGTAAGTGTTTTAATCATCGAAAAATTATCGGTATAGCACTGATAAATAATTATTTTAATTATTGATTATTTATTCTTGCATAGTAATCTTCACCACTTACCACTTACTGGTAAGTGGTAAGTGGCTTGCATTTAATTGAAGAGTGATCGTTCACGACACAAAATTGATGATTCCACCATAAATTTTTCGTGACCTTTTTTGACTAACTAAATTTAGGTAAGCATTAGTACAGTCTGGCCAGGACCCAATCGCTGATTAGGTGCCGATCCGATTTGGTTGTGTTCTGACTGAGGTATGCAATCCGATTGTGTCTAAGACGAATGATGATTGGTGTTCATAGAACACGAATCAGTAGATATTAGTGCAGCATCATCAAGTTTGGATCCAGTACCTAGTAGCAACTACCGAGAGAATCGTTCGA